GCCTCGTCGTCGCCGCTTTTTTCCCTGCGCGCCTCACGACGCCCCGCGGTGGTTTCAGCCCTGCCAGGGGCGGAGGATTCGGAGCCGGGACTCCCCCACCCTCCTTCCGAGGGTTGCACACCCAGAGGAATGGCACCTGCGAGGAACTGGGACACCCGAGGGGTTTAAACGGGGTTCCTCTCAAAGAATGGGGTGCCTGAAGGGTTAAAACGGGCACCTTGAGGGGAATGGGGACTCCAACTGGAGTGGAATCCTCACAGGGTTAAAAAAGGACTCCACTCGTGGAGGATGGGTTCCCCACAGGGCAATGGGACCCCCAAGGGGTTAAAACAGGCCCTCACCCAAGGAGAATGGGATTCCCACAGGGCAATGGGACACCCAATGGGCTGAGACAGACTCCTGACAAGGGCACCAAGGTCCCTCCAAGGGAATGGGACCCCCAAGGGCGTTCAAACAGGCTCCTGCCAAGGGGACTTGGACCCTCAAGGGGTTAAATCAAGCCCCTCAAAGGAAATGGGACCCCCCTCCAAGGAGTTAAAACAGGCTCCCACCAAGGGGAACAAAGTCCCCCCAAGGGAAGAGGATCTTCCTAAGGGAAATGGGACCCCCCAAGGGGTTAAAACAGGCCCCCACCCAAGGAGAATGGGATTCCCCCCCAAGGGGAATGGGGCCCCCAAAGGATTAAGACAGGCTCCTGCCAAGGAGAGCAGGATCCTCCCAGGGGAATGGGACCCCCAAGGGGTTAAGGCAGGCTCCTGTCAAGGCAATGGAACTGGGACCCGCAAGGGAAATGGGCCCCGCAAAGTGTTAAGACAGGCTGCCACCCAAGGGGACTGGGGCCCCCAAGGGGTTTAAACAGGCCTCCACTAAGGGGAACAAGGTCCCCTCCAAGGGAACAGGATCCTCCTAAGGTGGATGGGATCCCCTGAAGGGAATGGGACCCCCCAAGGGGTTAAGGCAGGCTCCTGCCAATGGGACTAGGACCCTCGAGTGGTTAAACCAGACCCCACAAGGGAAATGGGACCCCCAGGGGGTTAAAACAGAGCTTCCCAAAGGAAATGGGCCCCCCATGGGGAACGGGACCTCCATAGGGCTCAAGCAGGGAAGGGGAGTAAGAGCTCTATGGCTGGCGGTGGGTGGTGCTGCTGCCCTGGCCAGTTTTTCCTTGCTGGTCAGAACAACAAAGGTGATTTTAGCCTACCTCCATCTCAGTGCCCAAAAATGCCAAAAGCCCCTCACCCTTTTTGTTGCAGCAGAAGGGGATGGAGCCGAGGCAGTTCAGGGTCTTGACCTTCCCAAATGTCGCTTGTGCATCCTCTCCTTCCCAGGCTGAGCCTGGCTCCCTTCTGAGGAGCTGTGGCAAAGGGAGAGCCGTGGTCCCTCAAATCCCACCCAACCCCACCTGGGAGCTGAGATCAAGAGTCAAATTTCCTTTATTTTTCTTTCTTTCTTTTTTTTTTTTCTTCTAGTTTGGAGATGGAAATCATCCCAGAGCTGGCCCCAAGAATCCTTCCAGTGACACTGCAGAATAGATCCAGCCCTGACATAGGAGGTATTTCTGTGGTCAAAGCACAAGCAATTCCGCTTGGAATAAATAGTTGGAAACCACCGAGGACTCCTCAGATCTGAGGGAACCAAACGCCTCCCGCCCTCCACCAAGCCCTGGTGAGCTTTATCCACGCCCTGTGTGTCGGTGACAGGTTTTCTTCAGGAGCCAGCAGCCACTGGCCCCAGAGGACTCAATGTGTCCCCAGTCCCCTGGTGTCCCCTGGGGCTGCCCTTGGGCGGCTGGCAGAGCCCAGCACGGCGGCAGGTTGGGGTTGATCCCACACAGAACACAGGAGAAGATGGGAGCGGGTTCAAGAAGAGCTTTATTGGGAGGTCCTGGGCACAATAAATAGGGGTTACACTGAGGGATGGTATCGAGGGGCCGGGGGCTGGAGCTGCTGCATTCCACCTGCCCCATCCCACTCCTTCCTCCCAGTGGTGAAGCTGTCCCAGGGCAGGGAACAATGGGGACAGGCAGCATTTCACGGAGCGCTGCAGGGTACAGAGGGGTGCAGGGCACGGCCGTGGGTGCGGCCATCACTGCGTCAAGGCTTGGATGATGTCCTTGACCAGCATGGTGCCGATGACCATCTTCTCGCTGTTGACAGTCAGCTGGGCGGCGGCGCCTTCCCGACGCTCCAAGGTGATGAGCACCAGGCTCCCACTTGTCACCGTCTTGGCCGCGAACCTGCCCGCCGGTGAACGCAGGGCTTCAGGGTGAGCTGTCCCCCTCCCGCCCCCCAAAATGCGCCGGCGGGGACCGGGGAGGCGTCTGCCACCCATGGCCTCGTCCTAAAGGAAGCCTCGACTATCCCCATTTGTGGTTCAGAGGTGACAGCGCCCGCCGGGTCCCAGCGTGGGGGTCGGGCTACCTGTACTCGCTGTCAGCACCGCAGGGCACACGGCCCACGTTGGCAGCTGAGGTCACTTGCTGGACGATGGCGTGGTCACTCCGGCATTTCTTGGGCAGCGTCAGCTTCTCCATGATCTCGCTCATGCCCATCAGCTTC